CAAATAAATAATAAAATAACTGTAAATAGATAAAAATTAAAATTTTATTTATAATAATATTATTATTATAAATAAAATTTTGTATATAGATATAAATCATCCAAATAAACATTATTATACACACAATTAACCTCTATTTTTTTTTTTTAATTTAATTTAATTTTTTATTTTTTTTTTTATTTTTTGTTTTGCTTTTATTACATTAGAAATAATAATATTTAATAATTTTTGTAAATAATAATAGTATAGTATTAAATAGTTATAAAATGTGTTCATAGTCAAATATAAATTAATAAAGGGAAATGGCAAGTCACTTACAGAAAGTTAACCACAACTTCAAGATATAGAAAGAATTATATCAAATATGTATACGAAAAATAAAGAAAATAACAGAGACTTTACAATGTAATTTAAAGCAAAATGCATTAAATTTAGAAAGTCAATTAAATGAAGATGGTGATGGGAATATCAAACCCCTCATGGATGAAATAGAAAAAGGATTTTTAACTACAATTGCATTTAATGAAAATTTATCTAATATATATAAATAAATAGAGATAATAAAATTAATAATTAGTTATTATTATTGTTGTGAATTAAATATATTGAAAAACTTACTTCATTTTGAACATAGTTTTTAAGTTAGTAGCTCCAGCGGTATATATATAGATTAGAGATTAATTCTTTGGCCTCACCATTAGATTTCCACCACACTCAATGGCATCATTAAATGTATTTAAAACTGATTCAGATGGTTTCTCAGATTTAAATATTATCTCACAGGTGTTGGGTGGTAGTATAGGAACAGTTATAAAAGAATTCTTCAACGAAAATTATTATACTAGACAAGTTAATGTAAATATTTTTAAAGGTTATTTTTTTTAATAAAATTTGTAAACATAACTACTCACTTGGAATACATAACATTAATTTGTTTTTTTTTCTTTGGTTGTTAATTCTAAAAAAATTTTTTTAATTTTTAATTAACTTTTTAATAATTTTTTATTCAGTCAGATTCAGGTTCATTTACACAATATAATTCAATTTATCATACCCGACAATGGAAAGTAAAATAAATAATATAATATAATTATTAAATTGGCCAGATAAAATTTTAGGGAGTTTTTGTCAGAGCTAGAGGAGAATGTTTTATAAAAAAAAACCTGGATAGAGCTTTAAAATAAATGTGTGATATAATAACAATTTTACAATCAATGCAAATTTACAATAATAATTATAAACGAATATCACATTTACCACAAAATAACACACATTCATTATTTTATAATCAATGTCAAATTTTTAACACATTTTTAAAATTTAATATTTTTATACACAATTTTTAATTAATTTTAATTTTTAAAAAAATAATATTTTTTAGCATAAATTAAAATTTTAAAAATAATTTTAGATAAGAAAATAATAAGTAATAGAGTTTATTTATACAGTTAACAAATAATAATAATTAGTAATTTTTAGTTTTAATAAAGATTAGTTATTTTTTAAAATATAATTTTTAAATATTTTTATATATTTATTTTGGTTTTATTATATTTTATTTTATCTTTATTTTGTGTTTTATTATTATTATAATTAATTACATTTAATTTATAATATATTTTGTTTAGTAATTAATTCATTATTTTAGAGTTCTTAAATATAACAATAGTTATATTACATTTGGCGACAGCTCAGTTAGCTATCTTGGGGTTATATTACATTGGTCATAGCTCAATAAACTTTTTTGGGATATATTACACTTTTTCCATTTTAGTGTATATTTTAGTAGACATTTATACTCATTTAGTAATAATAATAAATTTTAGTATAGTAAATAATAATAGTTAATAATAGTAAATAATTTTAGATACTCCAGTAATGGCGGAGGAACAATTAAATCTCGAGGACTTAAGGGGTACTCATAGTAATTTGAGGGGTAAAGAATCAATTTATCCACGGGAAGATAATGATAGACCAGTAAAAATAAAACAAAGGGGTAATTTACTATTCAATGGAGATCCAAATACCATTTCATTCAAAGCATTTAAGTTAGGTTTATCAGTTATGTATGATAATAAATACAATGCCAAACAAATTATTTCACATCTCGATAAAAGACCATTAGAAACATTTTTAAATTTTTATTCCATTGGAGGATCAACCGAAACCGCTTTAAATAATTTAGAAACCTTATATGCACCTGTAGAAGAAGCTCCAATCAGTAAATTATTAAATTTTCATAAAAGAAAATTTTCAAATTTTGAAGAATTAATATTAGAATTCAATCAAGTAGAATGTGTATGTGTAGATGTACCAGTTCCAGTTAAAGTCGATTTATTTATTAAATCTCTACCTGATACAATAAGATTAGATATAATTAAAACTGCTCCTAAAACTTTGAAAATCGCCTATGAAAATATCAGACAGATATCTAGAGCAACAGAAGAAAATTATGGTTATTCATTAATGCAAGGAATCAATCAATCTCAATCACTACCACCATCTTTTAGACCAGAAAGTACAATTAAAACTAGTTTACAGTTTTCCAGTCCATCCCCATCTTTGTCAAATTTTTCAAATAATAATAGTTCTACATCTTCAGTAAATGCTATAAATTTTAAAAGAAATTCAAATGTTATTTGTAATTATTGTAAAAAACCAGGTCATGTAGTAAATGACTGTTATAAATTAAAGAATAAAAAGAAAAAAGAGATTGAGCAAAATAAAAGAAAAGAAAATTCCAATAAGCCTCAATCCGTTAATGCAATCAATGGTATTATGTACATTGTTATTAATATCAATGGAAAAGATTGCACAGGTTTATTTGACACAGGTTGTCAAACATCAATTTTAAGTGAAAAAATGGTTTCAAATTTAGGTTTAAATATAGTTTCACGTCCATCATCAGTAGAAGTTGCATCAAATCATACCATTAATACATTAGGTTATACTGAAGGTAATATTAATTTTGGTAATTCACAAGTTAAAGATACTTTTAGTGTTGTTAAAAATGGAAGTTTGAAATTGGATTTTTATTTTGGTATGAGTTCACTCTTATTATTAGATATTATGTATTTAAATTTAAAGGAAGGTTATGTATCT